TGGGATGGAGTCAGGACCTGAGGTCTGAATTGACCACTGCTCAGCCCCTGGAGTAAATGTATTCCATTGTCACCAGGTGTCTGCAAAATGCAGATATAATGAATACAGAGGATCTGAATCTACAAGGTATAAACTGGCCTCCCAGCCCCTTGTCAGAGGACTGCCTGTACCTCAGCATCTATGTGCCTGCACATGCCCGTGAGGGCTCTAACCTGCCTGTGAGTGTTAAGTCATGGTCAGTTGAAGGGTGAGAGAACATTTCCTTTGGAAGATGTTTAGAAGCAGGYTTGGGACATGGTTCAAGGTAGAGAGCCAGCACAATGCTGTGAAGGCCTGGGATTGACCCCAAGTAYTACATAAGAATACCGATGACACTGGAAGACACAGGTTCAGCTGGCCACTACTGTGGTGTGAACTACCATGAAAAGTTTCTCATTATCATGTCCAAGAAGGTCTCTTAAGCAGGCAGGTAGCTAACCTAGGAATGGAGTCAGAGAGCCCTGGATGCTCTCAAGGCCAAATGTTCTGTCCCACTGATCAACTTACTAGCTTGTACCCAGCAGATCCATGCAGGTGCCCAAAGCTGCACTTTGAGATCACTACATTCAATGAGCGTGGATTAATTTGGGGACCAGAAATTGGTTGACACTTTAAATTAATGTTCAAGTGGGGTAATCACAGAAACATCACTTTCCTTCCCTTCAGAATAGTTCTGAGGGGAATCGTTCCAGGTTCTGATTTATGGATAGAATCCAAAGTATGGGAGGCCTGATCATTCAAGCTGAACTTACTCAGTCACCAGTGCCCCAGGTCATGAAGTACTACTAGAGCTCTGTGTGGGTAGCTACACAACCAAAGTGGTGTACAGACTAGGGGTTCAGCCAGGATGGAATTGGGCACGGTGGCTACCACATGGTATATCTCCTGATTTCCCAGGTGATGGTCTGGATCCATGGTGGTGCCTTGGTGATGGGCTCAGCTTCCATGTATGATGGTTCTATTCTGGCAGCCACTGAAAATGTACTGGTGGTCACTATCCAGTACCGCCTGGGAGTTCTGGGCTTCTTCAGGTGAGCCTGGGACAGGGATGGTCAATGGGGACTGAGTAGATAGAGGACCATCCATTGATCATCATCCTTGCATTTCTCAGCACTGGAGACCAGCATGCCCCTGGTAACTGGGGCTACCTGGACCAAGTGGCCGCCCTACGCTGGGTCCAGCAGAATATTGCCCACTTTGGAGGCAACCCTGATCGGGTCACCATTTTTGGGGAGTCTGCTGGTGGCACTAGTGTGTCCTCACATGTGTTGTCTCCAATGTCCCAAGGACTCTTCCATGGTGCCATCATGGAGAGTGGGGTGGCCCTGCTGCCTGACCTTATCACCAGCTCATCTAAAGATGTCTCCACAGTGAGTATCCTTTACTGCCCGAGGCCAWATCTGCTGTCTCACCCTTCAACTTCAGAGCCTCTGCCACTCTATCTGTTCCATGGGAACAAAGACCATGCAGGTGTCTCCAGATCTGGCCACCACAACAGGGATTCTGAGGAGCTCAAAGGTCAGAATCCACACACCTCTGACTCAAGAGTTTGATTTTGCTCTGTGTTCTGCAAAACTGCACCCTGGGGTCCTCATCCTCAGAAGACCCATGTAAGCAGGTGTGATGGCTCCTCTGGCTGACACCTGAGCTTCAGGGAAGGTGGAAGGATTTCATACTTGCTGCAATACACACATGGCTCCCTTTGAGAATTATGGGTAACCTGCACACAGCTGAGACCTTAGGCAGCAACCC